GTTGCAAGTTTAATTACCCGGTGTTTTTCAGAACTTTGCTGAAGAAAAATGTTATTATTAAGTACAATAATCACAAACTTAGCTTTTAATATGGTTAAGTTTCCATTTTCTTTTTAATTACTTAATAAAACATGCAACCAAGTGGCTTTTGTTCTTTAGGAACTGAATAAGAATACAAATAATGTAATTCTATCAAAAATTTTCCTCTTATATTTAAAGGATTAGATTCAGTAACACATGTTGAAGGTTGTGCAGCTTTTTCCCATTTAAAAATAAGTGTTTCCATGCTTCTTGCAATTTGTGGTAGATTTAAGATGTCTTTGCTATTTTGTGTTTCACTTATACATGCACATTCTTGGAAAATGTCACTTTCTCAGATACTTTGTTCCGCTTTTCCTAATTTCGTTTCAATCTGTTAAATATCATGAATAAAAATAATAAAAGTGTTTGTAAAGGAAAACGGTATTAATGTTTAGAATTTTCAAATCATAAAAGCCATATTTCACATTGCTTTAAGGTGATGCTCATTGTATTGCATTACAAAAAAAACTATTTTGAAAACATTGTCCAGGATAAGAAAGTGGCTATGATTCTAATAAAATACATTAATATAAAGCAAAAAGCATGTTATTATTATTACCCAGTTGGTGTGGCTCAGTGGATTGAGCATGATTTCATGCACCAAGAGGCCATCAGTTCGATTCCTGGTCAGGGAACATGCCTAGGTTGAGGGCTACGTCACCAGTACGGGGGCATGCAGGAGGTAGTTGATTGGTGTTTTATCTTTCTCTCACTCCCCCTTCCTTTCTATCTAAAAATCAATAAAATCATATTTCAAATAGGTTTTTAAAAAACATATTATCATAAAAATTAAAATTAGACTCTGAGATTCAAAATTTAAATATTTAGATATTTATAAATTTGAGTATATGAGTTTAATTTAATATTGTATTCTTTGTAATTCCTTTACCCCCATAAAGCACAGAAAATAGCTAATATACTGTTTTTAGGTAGTATTTAAATTTCAAAAATAGAGCCTAAGGTCCATCATCATTTCTTTATACATAAAAAAAAAATGCTAAAGTATTCAACATTATACTAACTCTTCACAAAAGGCTCAAGATACCTGGGTCATTTATCATTCTTTAGAAGTTAATAACCTAGTTTTTGACATAGGAAAGGGATTATTAATTCTAACATGAAAAGATGTACTTCAACAGCAATACTTAGCTGTACATACCTAAAAATCTTAATTTCAGTTCCAATTCATAGTCCTTTTAGTGGTTCATTTGTCTTGACCTCACATATTGTTGACTTTTTCTTTAAGTATTAATTGTTAGATCTGAAACAGACTGTCAGAATATTTTCCCATGTTTACAACATGTATAGTATTATTTGTATATAAAACAATTCTGAAGTAATGGGTTGAGAATTCTGATGATCACTCAACCAAATGATGTGGTTATGTACATTTGGTCAAACCTTTTAACTGTGTAACCTCAATTCATTAAGAACAAATTACTGATATAACTTATGAAGATTAAAATAACTTTTTTTGATTTAAAGTATTTGATGTTCAGTAGTTTTCCAGCTTTATTATTTTGTAAACTGTCTCTATTGCCTTAAAAACGTAAGTTAGGTTACTATCAATGTTAATGTGTTACAGAAGAACTGAAGAAATAGACACCTACTGAGATTTGTCTCAGAATAGTTTATATTTAAAAAATTATGTAAAAGTGTATTAGTTTAATGTAATTGTCCATATACTACTTTATGTAAAGAAATTAACTCGATAGATTAAAATATAAACAGTAAATTATAACTTCAGTTACAATGCTGAAATTTAATTTTCAAATATAGTAGGTGAAAAGGAAAACCAATGTTATTTTGAACTAGTACAATGGCAGAAGGACAAACTGGGTCCTGAGTCTAGGGTCTTACAAGGCTGCTCTTAAAGTATCAGCCTAATTGGGTTTTTATCTGTAGGCTTGACTTGGAGAGAATCCACTTTAAAAAAAAAAAAAAAATATATATATATATATATATATATATATATATATATATTTATTGATTTCAGAGAGGAGGGGAGAGGGAGAGAGAAATAGAAACATCAATGATGAGAGATAATCATTAGATGTTTGGCGATGGGGGTAGAATAGAGGACCATGAGTAAAAAAGTCACTAATGGCCCAGCCAGTGTGGTTCAGCAGTTGAGCATCGGCCCAGAAACCAGGAGGTTGACGATTGGATTCCCTTTTAGGGCACATGCCCGGGTTGTAGGCTTGGTCCCTGGTGAGGGCATAGAGGAGGCAGCTGATTGACGATGTTCCTCTCTCATCGATGTTTCTGTCTCTCTGTCCCTTTCTCTTCCTCTCTCTCTAATATCAATAAAACCATTTATTTAAAAGAAAATAGTCACTAATGATATATGAACTAGAGTACAAGAAGAAAATGTATACTAAATATTTAAAACAATTTGGTCCATATTACAGGGGTTTTATTTGCTTAGATAAAAAGTTGACTTTCTGTGACAATGGGGTGTCATTTAAAAAATATATTTTTATTGATTCAGAGAGGAAGGGAAAGGGAGAGAGAGAGAGAGAAGCATCAATGATGAGAGAGAATCAGTGATTGGCTTTCTCCTGCACACCACCAACTGGGGATTGAGCCTGCAACCAGGCATATGCCCTTGAGTGGGATCAAACCTGGGACCCTTCAGTCCGCAGGCTGATGCTTTATCCACTGAGCCAAACCAGCTAGGGCGGGTGTCATTGATAGATTCTGAAACTGGAATAAATGATCAAAGATATATGGCTTAGGAAGACTTTTAACTAGATAGATAGATTTTTAAAGTTTGTAACTTTTGAGTGTGATATAATGGAATAGATCACAAGTGCCCATCCTATCCTATATAATAAAGAGCTAATATGCTAATTAGACTGAACAGCCGAATGACCATCCTGATGACATTCTGGACAACTGTCTGGACAACCTTCTGGACGAGCTTCCGGACAAAGCTAGGGCTGCGAGGGCCAAGCCTCTTGCATGAATTTCATGCATTGGGCCTCTAGTGCTTAAATATAATTGTGGGCATTTCAGAAGAAAGTGTATTCTGCTTTTGTTGGGTGGAGTCTTCTATAAGTTGGTTAAGCTTAATTGATTTGACAGTGTTCATCATAAGCTGTTTTAATTTTTCTTTACTTTTTCATTCTGCTGATTTCTAATTTTAATTGTCTTATTTTCTCGGTCACTGTTTAGTATATATGAGAGTACAAAGTAAAAGCCTTGTATGTCATGTCTGCATTTACTGCTGATGTTATGGAGAGCTTTCTCGTCAGCCTACCCATGAGGAAAATTAAGATTGTCTTGTGCTGTGTCCCAGGGAAATGGTCAAGGCTTTTGAAAAGAAAGTAGAGAACAAAAGGATATGCCAAGCGTGTACACAGTTGTGTTATTGACAGAATGTGTGACGCCTTTATGAATGTGTGACTTTCTGAAAACTCTTATTTTAAAGAGTTATCTTTATTCTATTAGGCACTTACTAAGTGGGGTTTTGCACATACCAATAGAATTTTTACTTCTATCAAGTCTTAAGTCAACTCTAAACAGCCTTCATTGCAGTTTTGTCTACCTCAATGGGAGGCTTTCTGCAGGAACAACCTCACTTGTGACAATGTATGATGTCAGTGAAATGATCAGAATTCAAGTTTCTATGTACCAGTAGCTGTAATGAGCTGCTAATTGAAGGTGACAAGCTGTTTTTTACTTCCCAGCTGGTCTGGCAAAATGTTAAATTTCATTCATTATTAACTCATTGCTTCTCAGCAGAAGATTAGTTTAATTATTGGGAACATTAAGAGAAGAGTTTTTGCCTTGTGTTAATTTTAGAGATTGAAGTTGAAGTTTACTAGATTTCCCCCTCCCCGACCCAGTTTTGCCAATTGTATACAGTTGTGTGAATACCCGATATAATCACGACACAACAATATTTCTATCACACCCCCCAAAATTTCTCATGCCACTTTATACTGTATAGTTTTCCTCCTTCCCTGGTCCCTGGCAACCACTGATATGCTTCCTATTATAGTTTTGCCTTTTTAGTTTTTCATTGGAAGGGACTCACACAGTATGTAAACTTTTATGTCTTGACTTTTTTTTTTTTTTTACTTCATAATGGTTTGAGGTTCATCTCAATTGTATGGATAGTTTATTTTTTTTAAATTGCTGAGTAATATTCTAGAAGCATTCTATTACATTAATATATCACAATATATCCATTCCTTTATTGATCAACACTTAACTGTTTTTGTTATTATGAATAACAAATTACAATTTTTTATTGATTTCAGAGAGGAAGGGAGAGGGAGAGAGATAGAAACATCAATGATGTGAGAGAATCATCGATTGGCTGCCTCCTCTCCCCTCCCTCTTCCCCCCCCTCCCCCACTGGGGATGGAGCCCACAACCCAAGCATGTGCCCTTGACCGGAATTGAGCTGGGACCCTTCAGTCTGCAGGCTGATGCTCTATCCACTGAGCCAAACCGGTTAGGACAAATTACAAATTTTTTGAGGAACTTTCATACTGTTTTCCATAGTGGCTGCACCAGTTCCCATTCCCACCAACAGTGCAAAAGGGTTCCCTTTTCTCCACATTCTCACTAACATTTTTTTTAATTAACATTTTTTTCATTTATAACTTATATTCAATATTATTTTGTATTGGTTTCAGATGCATGGCATAGTAGCTAGAGTCTATCTGCTAGACACTCATATACTTTACAAAGTGTTTCCCTGATATTTCTAGTACCAACATAGCCCCATACATAGACATTACAATATTATTGACTATATTTCCTTTGTTATACTTTACATTCCCATGACTATTTTGTAACTACCAATCTGTATTTCTCAAGCTCTTCACCTTTTCATCAAGAAAATATAGAGTTTACTGGCCATCCTACCTTGTGAAAACTAATGGCATTTGTCTTTTTTTTTTTAGCACTAGCCCACCTTACTGTTGTGTTGATCTGTATTCACTTCGTACTGGGGAAATGGTCAAGTCCATTCAGTTTAAAACTCCTATCTATGATCTTCATTGCAATAAGCGGTAAGCATTTTTTCCCCCATGTATTTCTTTTACAAAGTAACATATCTTCTGGGCATGTGGAGCCCTGCCAATATAATTGACTATCTTTGATTTTTTTTTAATTGCAAAAACACCTTTTGAATTCTGCTAAATGGAGTAGCTCTTAAGATTTCTTAACAAATGTTTTCAAATTTTTAGTCTTGACTCATTAGTGAATTTTGAATTAAATTTAGTGAATTGTAACCAGTGTTTTAAAAATGAAATGGAAAAGAATAGAAAGTATCTGAGCAAACATACAAAGGTTATGAGAAATGATTTTATATGTATCACTTAACTTTTTAGTATTTATTATGTATGTACTTCTGTGTTTATTGGTTTATGAAATGTATTTTCCTTTTAGCACTGTGAATGCAAAAAAAGATTTTTTTTTTCCTTATTCCTTAAGACTACAATTGAGATAATGTTTCCCTTCATTAAGATCTGTTTTGTTAAATTCTCTAGGAAAATTTTCAGATCTGGGTTGAACTTCCACCTGACCTAGTAATAATGAAGAATTAATTTTATTTTAAGTACAAAACATTGAAGGAGAAAGGGACCCCAAGAATCTTCTGTTACTCAATACTTTACTTTTACAATTGAGCAAATTGAAGCCCTACGATCATAAATGTCTTGAACAAGGTCATGGGTGCAAAATATAGTTCTTCCATTGCATTAAAAAACAAACACACAGAACATGGAAAATTAAATATTTTGTGCTGTTTCAACATAAATTTTATAATAAAAGATTCAGGTTAGATTTTAAAGAAATATTTCAGAAAGTGACTCAGAATGGTTGAATGTAATAGGAAAGGTAGACATACGCGATAAATATAAAGAACACATTGGCTTTGATACTAATGTAAAAGCACTTGAATGTAAGAAATAGGCAAAGAAAAACTACTCATTGATAGTATACAATTCATATTGAAGGTCTAATTGTTATGCATATTTCGACTTCAGTAATATCAAACTCAAAATTATAGGAAACTTGAGGCCTGATGCACAAAATTTGTGCAAGAGTAGGCCTTTCTTCCCCTGGCTGGCACCGGCTTCCCTCTGGCACCCCGGCCCTGGGCTTCCTCTGGCCGCTGGCAGCCCACAATGTGGGCTTCACCTGAAGATCGGTAGGAAGGACATCCAGTGTAATTAGCATATCACACTTTTATTATTATAGATAAGAGGAATACCTTATTGTTGGGATAATGTAATTATATTATGACATATCAAATTATTCAAAGACAATGAGTATGTTAAATACTTGCCAATCATTATAATCTTTATTTGATTTTTAAAAACTTTGAAATTTGCCTGTTAATGTCTTTGCATGGAACAGCTCTAAAATGTAGTTTGTAATATAACTTTATTTGGGATGTATTTTAGGAATTTCAGTTTAAGAAAATTTGTAACTAAATTATTTTCCTAATCATTTGTAAATCTCTGGGAGAACCTATAGTTCATATGGAGTCTGATTAACTTTTAATATATTGAGTCAATCAGAAATGACTCATTTACCCTGAATAATAGTTGTCTGAGGTTTTTTTTTGCTTTTGTGTTGGGGAATTCAGCAATAATTTTAAGTGACAAATTAGATAAATCCATTTTATGTTCAATTCCATGACTTTGAGCCAGAAGTGGAAAAATACTTTTAGTAAATAGCCAGCAATTTATTGATCTCATACATTCTTAATGAACATAGATTTATTTGATTTATAATGAGTGGAGACAAAATTTTGTTCAGAGGAAAAATTTTTTTGAGATGTTGTTGGTTCTCTGTCACTTTTATTCCACTAATGTCTGTCTTGCTTATTAAGGGTTTTGTGGTTATATTTTTGCCTTTTATGAGACATATATTTCTAGCCTAAATTGTATAAGAAATGCTTGATTTTATTTAAGTTTTAAAGATAGATACTTGTTTACATCTAGATGATTTAACTTATTTATGATTCTATAGAATAGACTTTCACACTCATATTTTTAAATTTTTTTCTTTCTAATTTTAGGATCCTCGTCGTAGTCTTGCAGGAGAAAATTGCTGCCTTTGATAGCTGTACTTTCACAAAAAAGTTTTTTGTCACAAGTATGTACCAACTTGATATTTCCTGGGATTCAATTATTAGGATATTCCTATATTTCTGTTGATGTCTTATTTAGTACTATAATTTTAGGGTATGAATTTTCAACTCATAATACGTTTTCCACGTATTACTAAGCAAGCCTTGTACTAGATTGCTTCAGTTTCTTCTTATATATTCTCCTCATGTAGCTATGTTGTACTTTTAAAGCAGTTGTTTAATTAATTATCATAACATACATGAGATAACTGTATTATCACACATGAGGAATTTAAAGAAATTTTATCTTTATTGTTGAAAATATTGCAGATGTCTCTTTCTACCCCCACATTGACCCCTTCTAGCCCACACCCGGGTGAAATGTGTGAGCCTATCTCTTTCCCTCCTCCTTTCCCCACATCCTCAGACTTCTACTACTGCCCAGAAGTGCAGAAATAAGCATAGAATCCACACACATGGGTAGAGAGGGATTTTTTTTAAGAATGTAATAGACAAGACTAAGATTTTTAGGGCAGGCTAGAAGGATGAAAATTCCAGCAAGAATTGATTCTGAAGGAAGTCTGGAGTTAGAATTTTTTTTCTACTGTAGTCTAGTAAGATGGTAGTTTTTGTCTGTCTCTGTCTATTTCACTTAGCATAATATTCATGTTGTCACAGATGGTAAGATTTTCTTCTTTTTAATGGCTAAGTAATATTTCATTGTGTGTGTGTGTGTGTGTGTATCACGTTTCTTTATCCATTTATCTTTTTTTTTTTTTTTAAATTAGCATGGATATCTAGGCTGTTTCCATGTCTTGGTGATGATAAATAATACTGCAGTGAACATAGGGATGCATATAGTTTTCAAATGTGTTTTCATTTTCTTTGAATAAATGCCCAGAAGTAAAATTGCTGGGTGTTATGGTAGTTCTGATTTAAAAATTTTGAGGAATCACCATACTATTTTTCATAGTGGCTATACCAACTTATAATTCCACCAATAGTGCATGAGAGTTCCCTTTTCTTCACATCTTCGGCAACTTGTTGTGTGTTGACTTTTTCATAATAGCTATTCTGACAGGTGTGAGGGGATATCTCACTGTGGTTTTCATTTGCATTTCCCTTTTAGCCAGTAAATTTGAGCATCTTTTCATATTTTTGCTTTAACTTCCCTGCCTTTGGGAGTCAAATTTATAAAGTCCTCTGTGACACCAAGATCCAAAAGTTTACTACCTATGTTTTTTTTCTATGTGTTTTATTTTTTCATGGGATCTAATACTTAGGTCCTTGATCCATTTTGAGTTAATTTTTGTGTATGGTGGCAGATACTCTAGTTTCATTCTTTTGCATGTGGCCTTCTCATTTTTGCAGCACCGTTTATTTGTTTTCTCCATTGTGTGTTTTTGGCTCCTTTGTTGAAAATTGGTTGCCCGTACACATGTAGGTTTGTTTCTCAATTCTCAGTTCTGTTCCATTGGTCTATGAGGCTATCGTTTTGATCATGCAAGCATTTAATTTCTAAAATACTTTGAAAAGCTCTTGTGTAATACAATTGTGAGTACCTTAGTTATGTATGAATCGGGACTGTAAAATTAGTAGAGACAGCTGTGTCCATCAGAGAAAGCATCTTGGGAATTTGTGCCAAAGGGGAGAAGGATCAGGTAAAGAGAGCTGATAGAGAACTGGAAAGGGAACACAGCCAGTATGATGAGAAAGGAGACACCTTTGTCTTTGGCTATACAGAAAAGGTGGCCCTGAGCAGCTGTCTGATGTGGAAATCTAAAACCCATGTATGATTAAGAAAACAAAAGACAAGGACTGATAGGTGTCATTAGCAGTCATTTCCAGTGTGCTTAAATTGAAAAGCAGATAGGAATTCTCCAGAGAGAGAGCAAAGGATTATATAGTAAGTAAGTGACTCTTTCCATTGGCCCCCATTTTTACTTGGAGGAGGAACATGTATTCCTTATAGTCCTAATGTCATTTCTTAGTATTAAGATGTGTTCTTCATGTATGTTCGTGATGAATAAGAAATGTAAGGAATGAATTTAAAGGATCTTAAAAATGCACAATTATTTTTAATTTTTGAAAGTTCGTGATGAATAAGAAATGTAAGGAATGAATTTAAAGGATCTTAAAAATGCACAATTATTTTTAATTTTTGAAATAGATTTTTTTCTTTAATGTTTAGAGGCAAATTTGTAAATTATCTAAGAAAGGTTTGGAATGTTAATGTGAGAACTCAGTCCAGCTAAAGGTAAAAGTCAAATCTATCTCTCTTCTTTTGATTTTCCCATTTATATACAATGGACTAGGCTGTCATGGTGTTTTCACATGGTGCCTGATACATAGTGGACACTCAGCGAATATGTTCTATGAAATCACTTAAGGCTTTCTTATTCTCTGCACATTATTCCCACCTGTTTAGCCTTATAATGGCAATACTCTTATAATGTTTCTTTTTTAAAATTAGCATTTATAATTATTTTATTTTCATGATACCTTCATGGAAATATGTAAAATGCTTATGAGATAATGTTAAGAAAAGCCAAACATAAAATTTTACCTATACTTTCAGGAAAAGTCTATGGATGCATAAGGGCAAAGATATGGAGATAGTTAAAAGATCAGTGGCTGCTTGTAAAATGGAGAGGGCAGAAATGATAAATAGGTACAGAGAATTTGTAGGGCAGTGAAAACACTCTTATCATATTACAATGATGGATATATGTCAGCATACATTTACCCAATCCATAAAACGTATAATGCCAGTAGTTTGTCTTAGGGTTCAATTTTGGTGTTGACATTGGCAAAAGAATAGACAGATGTATCAGCGGGACAGAATAGAGAGTACAGACATAGATCTTTGACAAATAAGCAAAGGTAGTATAATGGAGCAAAGATATATTCAACAAAAGGTTCTGGGACAAGTGGACATTCATGTGCCAAAAATTGAATCTAGATATAGACCTTATATCCTTCATAAAAATTAAAGTTAATTATAAGTGCAATACACAAAAGTATAAATGTATAGATTATAACAGGAGAAAACCTAGATGACTTTGGGTATGGCGATGTCTTTTTAGATGCAACACCAAAGGCACAATTCATGAAATAAATCATTGATAAGGTGGACTTTATTGCAATTAACAGCTTCTGCTCTGTAAAATACATTGTCAGTAGAATGAGATGACCAGCCACAGACTGGGAGAAAATATTTGTAGGAGACACATCTAATAAAGGACCGTTATCCAGACTATACATAAACTCTGAAAATTCAACAGGAAGAAAACAAACTGATTAAAAAATGGTTCAAAGACCTTAAGTAGAAAAAAGAAGATTCAGGAGAAACCAAGATGGCGGCGTAGGGAGTGGACCTGTGCGTGCTGCTCTCCCACAGCGTCATTGAAACTACCAACTATGAGGCAAACAACCACCACTCAGAACCATGGGGAAGTTGGCCCAGTGGGAGATCTACAACTGGAAGAAAAGAAAGAAGCGCAGTGAGACTGAGTGGCTCCGGAGGCGCCAAAAACAGAGGTACGCAGTCACACGCCAGGCGGGCTGCAACTGGATTCGTGGTTTTTTTTCAATCGGAAGCGGTTACGAACCCTTGAATCCTCTGGGCTTGCTCGGGGCGGGTCTCTGAGGCCCCACGGGGAGAGAGGACACGGCCTTGCAGGCCTTGCAGCAGTTGGAGAGCGAGGGAAGCTCTGACGCGGCTGCTCGCCAGCACTGGGGGACGCGAAGTCCTGGTGTCCTGGAGAGGCAAGGGGCGCAGAGACGCGCCAATGCTATCTGCTCCGTGCTGGCGACTCCCTGAGACCCCGCCCTACTCAATTTACATTCCCATCCAGGCTGTGCTGGAGACACAAGAGGATACGCCTTTGCTTTTGCAAACTCTCAAATCCACTGAGCTGGCTCCTGCGGGCGGGAACATGAGGCACCAGACCCCGGCCTTGCAGCCGTCAGAAAGCGAGGGAGTCTCTGTCGCACAGCTGCTCGCCGGCACTGGGGCACGCGAAGGCCCGGCGTCCTGGAGAGGCGAGGGGCCGCAGAGACACAGCCACTGCTATTTGCTCCACCATGGCGACTCCCTGAGACCCAGCCCTAATCAATTTACATCCCCATCCAAGCTGTGCCAGGTGCACAAAAAGACCCACCTGCGCTTTTTCAGCCTAACCCAACAAATTGCAGACTTCAACTGCTCGCAGCCATGGGAGACACACTCAAGAAGCAGACCCAGGAGAACCAAGATGGCAGCATAAGGAAGAGACCTGTGCGTGCTGCCTCACACAACAACATTGAAACTACCAACTATAGGACAGACAGCGATCATACGGAACCATGGGAAAGTTGGCCCAGTGGAAGCTCTACAACTGGAAGGAAAGAAAGAACATTGAGACTGAGTAGGATGTGCAGAGTCACCAAGTACAGAGCCCAACCCAACAAACTGCAGATTTCAACTCCTCTCATAGGAAGAAGAGCATTGAGACTGAGTAGGATGTGCAGAGACACCAAGTACAGAGCCCAACCCAACAAACTGCAGATTTCAACTCCGCGCATAGAAAGAAGAGCATTGAGACTGAGTAGGATGTGCAGAGGCACCAAGTACAGAGCCCAACCCAGCAGGCTGCAGATTTCAGCTCCTTGCATCCGGGAGGGACGCAATCGGGGGGCGGAGTTGGGTTCAGGGCAGGCCGGGGCTGAGCCCAGCTGGGCCGGTGTTGTGGAACCGAACCGCTGTACCAGCAGGCGCACAAACATGCCCACCAGTTCCAGTCTCGCGTGGGGCACTGGGGGACGGCAGACGGGCAGTCTGTGCACTTGGAGAAGGGTGTGGTCCGAGCAGGAGTGCTGGATTTTTCAGCCACCAGGAATGCCTGGAGATTTTGTCTGGCGGGGAGCCGCCCAGCAGGGGACAGAGGGCCAAACTTCGTGTTTCCCCGGTGAGGCTGGGACGGCCCCGGTGAGATCGGGACGGCCCCGGTGAGGTTGAAGCAGCCCCGGTGAGGTTGAAACGGCC